ACGGCCACAGAGCGGGACAAGCATGTAACGCACCAACAAAGCCACTGTGGTCAAAGATTAGAATCACCGCTGCATAATGGGCACATTTGGAAACGTCCAAATAATGAATCTGACTTCTTGTGGCGACAACAAGTGTTTAAAGACACTTCACAGCAGCGGACAACAACTACAAATGTTTTACATTTCTATTTAACACTCATTATTTGTGGCTTAATGAGCAAAAACCAAAGCTAAAGCTGAAAAAAACACAAGTATGTACACATTAATAATAATTTAACACTAAAAACTCAACTACTCTGCTGCATCAGGTCTGTGCAGGTGAAGTTTGATCACATTTGTTTGGCAGGGGCATCTCCTGATCAACATAAGAAACAAACAACCATTTAAATATGGATTCTAAATTTTTTTATTGGTTGAATTCTGATTTGTGAATTGAAATATCACTGCATCAGCCTTTTTTCAGTCATATTTGAGCACACACAAAACACAAATATGGAAATCTCTGATGTGAAATGACCTGTATTCCTCTTACTTTGGAAAAAAAAGTGTTTTCATGTCTCATTTATTGTAAGAAAATGACAAGTCCTTCATATTAAAGTACTAAATATGCTGAATGCAACTTCCCCTCAGAATGACGCAGAAAAGTTTTGTTGAAAAATCATACACAGTTTTGGTTAGATAAACAAATGAATTGGTTCGGGTTAGGAAAAGGTTAAAATGACTACTTTGTTTAGATTATGGGCGTTTGATGACATGGTTGCAAGATTAAAGGAAATGATTGTGGTCATGATTGAAAGACAAGATGCCAACACTGAGTCTTGGTAGGAACAGTTGACTTTCTTTGTTGACATTTTGTGGTTCTATGAAAACGTCCCCCTACTTCTTTTAAGTCTTTTTTGGGATTGTTGGCTCAAATACCTGATTTCACAGCAGCTTTTCTAAAAAATTGCAATTTATGTTGCAATGTTTTTAATCGTTTTTTGCGGGAGCGGGTGAAAATTGCAAAAACAGTTAGAATTTGTTTTTCTGTATACTTGATTAAAAATCGAAGGCAACTCATTCCAGGCAGAATCAAACCACAGTGTTCTGAGTTTGTGTTTTATACAACACCAATGATGCATATATAATCAAACTCACATTGATACTTTTAGCATGTGCAATAGATCTGGATGCAACAGCCTCTGTCTTGGTGATTTTACCTGTCTGTCATCAACACATTTCAAATGTTCTCCTGGTGTCATTTGCGGTAGAAACTGTTTGTGGAACCGATGACTTTTGCTTGAGTTCCACCTTAACGTTGCACACTGTTTACCCTTGTTTTGTTCAAAACATCAGGTTGCCTTGCATGGTCTTTAGCAGTAATTTCTGTTGGTAAATGTGAGACGTTCATGTCGCATGTGTCTGCATCTTTACAACCAGGAACAAGGAAGTGAGTCTGGTGATGTGCGGGGGACTGCTATGTTTGGTGAAACCTAGGAAACGATATTTGGTCAAATATGTATAAGCTGCAGTGACTGGACAAAGTTGAAAGATCGCACAGAATTCACAGGAATTGGTTGAATTTGTTTTAATTGTTATGATAGCAACATCCTACAGGAGCTGTCTGCCGATGGAAAAGACTTAAAATTTGTACGACTACTAAAGGGCTTTGTCACTTGAATGAGAACAAATGTAGTCTTTAGGGAACTGATGCTATAGTTTTTTCGTGGTGGACGGTCTTGAACAATAATTAAGGATGCATGAACTTGATTTAAACTGAAAGGAGGCTTAATTACACATCTCTACATAAATGTTCTAAATGTCACCAGAATCATCTTCATCACCAAAACACAGTCGTTGCTGATCTGTCAGATGAGAGTCAGTAGCTGGGAGGACAGATGGGACTGTCCTCAGTCTGAGTGGGAGGAAGAGTGTGTAGGTTGACCCAGGATGGTTTGTCTTGTGTGTGGGAAGTGTATTCCTCAGTGGTGAATGACAAATATGGTGGCGGTGGGGGGCGGCGGGGTTGAGGGGGGTATTGATCAGGTGTTGTGGCTCGGGCTGGCTGATGGAAAGTAATTAATGACTCCATTTGCTTTGGAAGCAAAGAGAACAATTGAGTTTGATAAAGTGACAAGCAGCAGCTCGAGTAGGTGAAAACATGTTGAATATTCACCTCAAGAGTTCAGACGAGCAACAGATCCGGACCAAAATCAGAGCTGGTCTCATATAGCTTAAAGGAACAGTTCAACCTCTTTGTTTTTGTCTCATGGGTTGGGTGAGTCATATCTGTGCAATAAATATGAAGCCACAGTCAGAAGTCGGTCAGTCTCAGAGCCCATCTGCTAACGGTCTGGCAACGTTTAGCTTCGGGGGGCAAAGTCCAATATTTTCGGGGTTCTGTAAGATCCAGCGAGTATTCGGGCCAAGACTTCCTCTTCCATGCGCCGGCAATGGTTTACACAGTCTCAGAAGCCATCAGTCTGACAACAATCTAGATACTGGGGAATCTCTATAAACAGATATCTGCATATGAATGCACATGAATTTAAACTAATGCTTATAAAAAGCTTTATCATCATCAGACGATAGCCGATGGATTCTAAGATTGCATTTCGGCCACTGTGTATCACCTCTTTTGCTTTCCACATGGACTGTGTACCTGCAAGCATTCAAAGCTTATTCAAACATGACTGGTCAAGACTACTCAGACTACAAACAGAAACCAGTACGCTTCCGGTACCAAAATCTTTATATGTAGCTATCTGATTAGAACACCAGGTTCTGCCGCAGCTGCTTCTCTCGTCCATCGATCTGATCAGCTCTGATCTGATTGACTGATCAATTATTAACCCTGCTAATCAAAGTCCATAAAGTCCTGCTGAGGAAAAATAAAGTCACGAAGAGCTCCACCTGTGCTGCATTCATGGACCCACAATTTAGAGAGGGGACACAAAATGAAACCAGAATGATACCAAAGGACGCCAAGGAAAATAGTTTGCCCACCTCCATACCCCCACCCCCTGGCATCAGCTACCATCATACATAGATTATGATTCTGTGGGAACCACTGAACTATTCTTTTAAATTATCTTGTGTCCTTAAAAAAACATGTTTAAGCTGGATGACAAAGCATTTTTGCATTTATGGTGGATTTGAATATTTAGAAGTACTCAAGGTCTAAAGGTCAAAAGTGATGTACTCTCATACAACATGGAAAATTTCTCATAAATATAAGGAAACATGAGAGTAAAATTTGGATTGAGATTAACTGAAACCTCAAGTCAAGGTATCTACTGTTACCAAGTACCAGTGATTTCTTAGCCCAAATTTAAAATCTGTTTACCTTACCTTACGTACGTTTAAAGGTAAACAAGTAAAATGAGGACAGGGATTACTGCGGCACTAAAATCTGATACAGCAGCCATGACTGAAAGAACCACAACTGCAGATAAATTTAAACAAAGGCTAATAAAAAGCTTTGTCATCGTCAGACAACAGCCAACAGATTCTGAGATTTCATTTTGGTCATCGAATTGCATTTCCATTACCGTGCCACTAAAATCTGATACAGCATCCATGACTGAAAGAACTATGAGTGCAGATAAATTTGGCAGATGCCTTAGATTTTTATAACGACATTGACAAAGAAACGAAATCCATCATATTGTGGCCAAAACCCAATCAACCTATTAACATCAGTATTGGCACCGATAACGATACGACATATTGGATCAGTGTATTGCATGTAAATATGTCCCGCATTTATCTGTGCAGTGAAAACAGAATGAATAGTTAGCAAGATATTGTTGGCAAACTCGTGATATTTATTGCTCTACGTTTTTGCAGCTATCAGCACAATTTCAGGTCAAACACACTCCCCACACACACACACCCACACACACACACACTCTTTTATAGCTCCTTGACGGGAGAGTTGGGTTCATCCTCTGGCCTCAGCCGGTGAAAAAAGGTCAAGCAGCAGAATAGAATGGCAATAACCCTCCCAAATGGTACTATCACACAGACATGATTGATCAATTGAATTCCATGGCAGAGAAAAATGTGGGATTAAGTAGAGTATTATACGCACAATGAGTTGAGGCATGATGTTCATTTCAAGTTCATTTCAGCTCCCTCTTGCCACCAGATCAGGCAATCAATAGGGGCCTTGCATATCATATATCACTACTCTCCCACTGAGGGGAGAACATAATCTGCCGCAAATTTAGAATGACAGATTTGTAAGGGAGCTGAAGCTTTCTGGGATCCGGGGAGGAGACCTACAGACACTGCAGCCAGGAGGGGGGGGGGGGGATGGAGGGAGGAGGAGGAGGGAGGGAGGTATGGTAGGATGGTCTGTAAAGGCTTTAAAGCGTCGCAAACAAGTGACAACGGGAAAAGCTAAGGCATCCTTCTCCCAACATTCAGGTAATCAGGTCAGGAGTCGGGAGAAAATTCCTGTGTTTGGAGAGCAGGATGATTGAACCAGACTGTACAATTTTATTCAGCCTCTTGTCCTCCGCCGCTCTTTCCAAATGGAACCACCACACTCGCAGAGAATGAAAGCAGTATTGAATTGTGAAAGGGAAATTGTGCTTTAAAAAAAACTGCTCTTGATTTCAGCGAGCACCAAGAGGGTTTTGGGGAGGAAAAAAAATCCTCTAGCTGGAATGAAAATGGGCTAGCTGCTGCTTTCATTAGTATACATGCTTGCCACAACATGTATATATTTGCAAGTGATGGTGATCCATCAATTACCAGAGGGCTTTCAGATCATGATGGTGTTACTGTGGCGGTGGGCGGGGGGGGTGCAGGGAAAAACCTGTGTGATGTAGCCAGTGGCTCACTACAGCCATTAAGGAATGGGAAAACCTGCACACCATCCCTTTCTGTCCTCCTCAGATCCCCCACAGAGGTGGTACAGAAAAATACATGAGGAGAATATAAAGTGCTATAGCTTGAAGTGAAGGCCAGCTTCCCGGGGTCAGTGTCTCGATTGTTGCTCTTTCTTCTTGTAGATGGTTCAGATGGTTCTGGCCCAAACAGTGATTCTCAGGGTAGTGTGGAGAGTTTACGGAAACACCTTAGGGCAGATGCCTTCACCCAGCAGCAGCTGGAAGCATTGGACCGGGTCTTTGAACGCCCCTCGTACCCTGACGTCTTCCCAACATCGGAGCACATCAAACCTGAACAGGTTAGTAGCACTGAAACACCTCTGCTCTTTCTTCACATGCAAGTTAACACACCCAAACTGTGAATGTGATGATACCTGAAATGACCATGACCTCTGAACACTGCATTACGTGATGGTGACATGTACTGTGTTGAAATGACATGGTGGTGGTACTGATGGGTTCAGGCACTAAAACTGCTTGATTAGGTTTAGAAAAATCTTGAGTTTTCAGTTAAAATAAGAATGTATGTTATGTACAGGGCAGCACAAATACTTGGTTAGGTACGTTTGTTACGTACAAAGCAGCACAGTTGTGTTAAAGCACCAAACCTGCTTGGCTAATTGAAACAAATATCATATTTTAGATTAAAATAACTATGTTTGTTAAGGACAAAGCGGCATGGTAGGAATTAGACACCAAAATCATTGGTAAGGCTCAGAAAGAGATTGTGTTCTCAGCTAAAATAACTATGTTTATCACGTAAAGGGCGGCATGGTTGGGTTTAGGCACCAAAACTACTTGGTTAGGTATAGAAAAAGCTTGCGTTTTCGGTTAAAATAACTAGGTCTGTTATGGCCAGAGTGGAATGCTAGGAATTACGCACCAAAACTACTTGGTTTGATTTAGAAAGAGATTATGTTTTAAGTTTAAACAACTCTGTTTGTTATGTACAGGGTGATTCGGTTGGGTTTAGGCACCAACACTTCTTGGTAAGGTTTAGAAAAAGATTGAGTTTTTGGTGGAAATAGCTACTTTTGGTATGTACAGAGCGGCACGCTAGGAGTTAGGCACCAAAACTACTTGGTTAGGTTTAGAAAAAGTAACTACATTTGTTATATACAGGGTAATACCATTGGGTTTAGGCACCAAAATTGATTGGTTAGTTGAAGAACAGATCGTATTTTAGGGTAAAATAACTACATATGTTGTGCACAGGATGGCACAGTTGGATTTAGGCACCAAAACTACTTGGTTTGGTTTGGAAAGAGATTAAGTTTTTAGGTAAAGTAACTACGTTTGTTATACACAGGCCGGCACGATTGGGTTTAGGCACCAAAAATACTTGGTTAGATTTGAACAAAAGATCATATTGACCATTAAAAAACTAGGTTTCTCACACACAGGGCAGCACAGTTGGGTTTAGGCACCAAAACTGCCAGGTTAGGTGGTTTTGGTTAAAATAACTGCGTGTGTCACCTTCAGAGCAGCATGGTTGGGTTTAAACACCAAAACTACTTTGTTAGGTTTGGAAAAAGATCATGCTTATCATTATAATAACTAAGTTTGTAACATGCAGGATGTAAGAACATCATGAAAGCACAAAAGTATGTAAAGGACATACGTATATCAAGTACTAGGTGAAAGTCCAGCGTTTCTTCCATAAGTAAGGACGTAAAGGATATAACTTGTGAAGTAAAATAAGCCGAAGTTGACTTTTAGTTTCACACAAAACACAAACAGCATGTCCAGAGTAAAAGTACGGTGTAGCTGTAACCCATCCACCACCCTGACCTCCCCCCTAAGCGGACATTCTCACTCTTTATACTGCCTATAGGGTCATTACATCACCACCGCCCACTGCATGGCAATACTGAACCAAGGAATTTGTATGTCCACCAAAACCAAGGATCCTACCTGCCTTTCCATTGGCATTCTTACTGTAGTGCCAGCCTGTAATTTCAACACAATACATGCCACCACCATGTAATGCGGCGTGAAGAGGTCCTGTTCATTTCACATATTTCTGTACAACCAGGCTATGATTCAAACACACGCACACAAAAAGCACCTTTGTCACAAATATTCCCATACCCAGAAAGCTAATTAAACAGACGTCTGAGATGTCTTAGCACTGGATTACAACCAAGCATGTATAATGCTGGAGGGATCACCAGGAAAACTCCCACACACTATTGATTTTGTGATGAAAAACACATTCCTTGTATCCCCTATAATTGAGAATAACAGTAAGGCAACATGAAATTAATCAATACCTAGATTTTTCCACATTTTTGTGCTGTGTTATTCAACCGCTGCTTCTTGCCTTTGTTGTTTATTTTCCAATTCTGTGTCACATCTTGATGCTTAATAACTGACACAGTCTCAGAGGCTGCCGTTATTGTAACATGTATTCACGAAATGGACGTATGAAAGCATGTATTCCTGCTCCTTCGTTCTGATATTAAAACCACACTCGCCATCCATCCTCATTTTAAAAATTAAGAGGCATTTGGGGACCAGCCACCCTCCACGCCAAACCGACAGCCACAAACCACCGCTTATTAAAAGCTCTGGGCTTATTACAATGGATAACCTTTATTTACTTTCATTATACTATTAAACAACAAGAGACTATTAATTTCTCCCACCGAACTACAAGTCGGACCCATAAAGCAAAAGCAGTCGCCTAATTGAGTTCATTTTAATTTCTCTCCAATCGGGGCGAATTACGCAGGTGATAAATCAGTGGGACAGGCCTCACCTCCAGAAGAGGGCCTAATTTGCAGCTAATTACAAAACTGATTTCTACTGGAAGATCAATACCAAAACGAATTGGAAATGACTTGCAATCACAAAGAGCGTCAGGGAGAGTGTTAAAAGGCAGAGGGAAAGGGGTTAGACTAAAAAAGAGGGCAAGTAAGGAAAAAAAGGAGGCCAAGAACAGCCTAGAAAAATCAGGTTTAATTTAATGCAATATTAATCAGAGCACTTTCCCTTTCATGGGTGCCTCACGTTTTTTTTTTTTTTTTTTTTTTTTGTGGCCCTATTAGCCAGTGTCTGGGTTCTGTAGCGAGGCATTAAAAACCCATTCTGGAGATGCAAAACTCAATGGATTCACCCCTCCCACACTTCTGCTAGCCATTTGGTCATCCCTTTCAGACCTATCTTTTCAGTTTTCCCCCTTCTGCCCTTTATCTGCATGATAAAACGTCTGTTTGGCGTCTGAAGCCTCTGAGAATAGAGGAAAACATCCGACATTGTGCCAGTGAACAGTTGTAGCAGACAATTAGAGTTTATCGGTGATAGTGGCAGACAAGAGCGGGGTCACGGGCGTCCCCCTGTGGGAGCGCGGCCCACTGAGTCACTCAGGCTCACACTGGGCTTTGGACAAACATTGTCAACACTCAGACTCCGGAAGTCTCATCTCATTAAAAAAACCTGCTAGCATCTGCCATGAGTGTCTTTTAGCGGATTTACAAAAGGGAACATGACGATGAGGGACAAGCTGGGAAGAGATTATTTTTAGATTTAGTTGTTGTTGTTTTTTTAATTAAAGGGTCAGTTCACCTAAATAAATAAAGAAACACTTGGATTTATTTGCATCTAAAGAGACGTAGCTGTGCATGTATTTACTGGAGCTACTTTCTACTCAGGAAACACACTTCTGTTGACTATCCAGGACACTTTTGGGCACCAAATGAAACCAAGGGTGTAGGTTTGGTCTCAATATTGGGGGTGACACATATAAAAAAGGGGATTGGGGATCCTACACCAGAAAATATTGAGTTTCAAACACTTAATTCCCTCCATTTTGATGATTTTTCATGCACCAATATGCGCCTTTCTACATCAATGTAGGGTGTCTTTAATTATATCAAAGTAAAAGTTCTCTGTTACTTTCATGTTTTTATTGGGATGGGGGAAAAAATGCACATCCGTCCACCCTGAAATCTGCACCTATGACTAAAAAATATTGTCTGTATCAAAAATTTTAACCACCCAAAGTTGGCATCAAATGCTTGGTCAGATTTGTAGTCTAGTTTATTTGTTTTCTGAATCAGATATCTTAAGATTTAAATCATAATTTTGCAAAATTTAGACAAACTATTTAGGGTTTCAGCTGTGTTTAGAAAGGATGAAACATTTAAGAAATTTGGCTATATCTGTTAAATGAACAGAAGGATTTTGTAAAATATAAATAAATAAATAAATAAAGTACTTAAAAAAGTATTATTTTGTTATCGGTACTTGTATCAAAAATTTTATTTTGTTTTTAATTTTAATAATAATAGAATGTAATAGTTAATAATTCTATTTTTTTATTAAAAATGTACATTTAAAAAAATAAATAAAGCAGCAGAAATGCATTTATTCCATTCACCACTGTTAAAGTAGTGTTGAAATGGAAGATTGTGAGATCTCAAAACCTGAGCACATAAAATTACTTGCATCACGAAACACTGCTTTTGTTAAAAATATGTTGTTTTTTTAATATGATTTGGCTGAACTAGTCCTTTAACACAACATCTGAATGCACACAAGAAGCACAAACACTCAAACAGCTACATGGCCACAAAAAGTGCAGGTTGTACAAGTGATTCTATTCAGAGATAAGAGGTAATGAAATTTAAAGGTGGTTTCGACTCCAAATTAAAAGCAAAACGCAAAAAAAAAAAAAAAAAAAAGGTGAATGGTGTCTCTCAAACAGGGGCCACATGGTGAGCCTGTAACAAAGCAGAACTGCTTTCTCCCTTGGCTGATCAGGGGTAGGACTGCAGTCAAGCACAAAGGGCCAGCTGACGCCTTGGCTTTTCACTCATCTCAAAATCCCACTTCCTCTCAGACAATACCAAAATACATTCATGATATGCTTGAACTGCCACCCTGCAGCTTGAACAGACACACACACTCACACACACACACAATGCGCTCATACAAATTTATACTCGCACAGGCCTGTGTGGAGCGCTTAATGGAGGAGGAGAAGGGAGGATTTCCATCTTGGTATTGTTTGGTTGTGTAATGATTCAACTGTCCTTTTCCCAGGCTAATGAGTACTCGCTCCCTGCCCTGAATTCCAGCCTGGACGAAGTCAAGCCCAGTTTATCCTCTAGCGCCAACCCAGACCTGGGCCCCAGCGTGTCGCAAAGCTACCCTGTAGGTAAGATCAAGCGCCATACAGTACGCCTTTATGCTGCCGAGCCACAGCTTCAGCTGAGGGGGATTTTAACAGTGTAAAAAGATCGAGGAAAAACAATGCTTGTGCAATTTGACAAAAGAAAATGTGATAATAAAAGCAAACCAAAAAGTTAAGTGTGAAGACTTTTTTAATACCGTTTCACTCTGAGCTGAAAAGGTGGTACAATGGTGCGATAAAAGCTTAGCAGCTGTCCTCCGTCTGGTTCTTTGCTGAGCAAGCAGGGCGATAAGAGAGATTGTGGGGTGGGGCAGGGAGGGGGCGAGCTGTTCAGTCACCGCTGGACAAGGACCTTTGGGTGTCAGCACATCAGAACTATGACTGTGTATCAGAGCAAGGTCTCGCAACGAAAAAAAAAAACAAGAGAGGGCCACCATGCAGGACTGACTGCTTGTTGGCTGCTGCTGTGTTGCTCCTGTGATTTGTTCGCCGGGAGACAGTTTGTGTGTCTCAAAGCACGAGTAATGTGCCTCGGTAAATACGCTCTGGCATTTTCTGCCGCCTAACTCTAACACCATGATCATTTATTTCGCCCTCCTATCTCTCTCTCTCCCTCCCCCCCCCCCATCGTCTCCTCTCCTTGTCACAGTTAATGACTGCCTGGCTAATTGAAATATTGTTTCGTTGTTGCAGTGTTATTACCAAGAAGAAGGTTAAGTTTACTGAAAGTTTACGATGACTGTCGGGGGCCCCAAGATTAATATACAGAGCTTTTATTAAAATTCATATAATTATGCAGCAGCCATCAAAGGCAACGAGTTCTGCGTGGGGGAGGACAGGGTGATTGAAAATTGCTGCAGCCCCCCTTCTCAAATGATAGCCAAGCGGCCTTATGAGAAAAGAAAGGGCCCTTTTCTCATTAATATGTGGGAGGTAGATTTCCCCTGTAAGACTGGCCTCCTGAGAAGAAAGGTGTGTGTTTGTCCTTTGTGCACCGATGGCCCCTGTAGAAACGCAGGCCCCAGTTGTGCAGGCGGCTTTGTTTGCACCTGGGATATTTTAGATGGTCTCTGCAGACTGGAGAGGGTCTCCTTACTGCTTTACAGGTGCAAAGAGACATGTAGAGGAAGAAAGATGGGATTGTATGCATACTAGTGTGTGTGTGTGTGTCTGTGTGTGTGTGGATGCATGTGAGAGCACATGACTTGCTTTGGTGGAAAGGCGAAGGTTTTGTTTCAACATTGGGGAGGAAATGGGAAGTTTGGGGGGTAAATTTTGAGCATCAAACATTTAAAGGAACAGTGTGTAAGATTTATGGGTGTGAGGAGTGCAGATTGCAACTAGCGGAAACTTCTCCCGGTTAGAATTCCTTCAGTGTTCATTGATCAGGAAGTTTTTACCGGGAGCCGAATTATTTAGAGAGGTCTTTTCCTCTCCAAAACAAACAGACTGTGTAATTTAAACCAGTAAACACACTGAATAAAGCAGTTTCACATTACAAATCAGTGTTTCTCCTACCCTGTTTGGCATGCTGCAGACAGGCCGCTAGTCCAGCACCTGCTAATGTGTGCTCAAATTTTTCCGCGATCCCGCGATTAAGATCCAAACGTTCAGGAGGTTTTTACCAGAAGCCAAATTTTCCACAGAGGTCACTTCCTCTCAAAACAAACGGACCCTGGGTCTCATTTATAGAACAAAGCGTCGGTACAATACTCAAAATGTACGTACGAACAAAAGGCAAAAATGGTTAGTGCCAAAAATATTTGATATTTTCCCGTTTCTAAAATGTTCGTAAGCATGGGGTAAAGTTTCTCACATCAAGTCTGTCTTTATACATCACAACTTCTGCCTGGGAAGTGGCGTACGACACATTCAGGCCTCGTTTTGTGCATACGCAGTGTTTAGGAACGATTAGCAATGATCATTTAAACCAGTGAAAAAAACACTAAAAAAAGCTGTTTCATGTAAAAAACAAAGAAAAAATGCTCTCACTGCAAATACGAATGGCCCTTTCTAGAGCAAGTGTTTGGTTTGTCTGTTCTGGGCTACTGTAAAAACATGGCGGTGCAACAGGGCGGACTCTGTAGGAAAAAAACACTCCCTATGTAGAAATAAACGGCTCGTTCTAAGGTAACGGAAACACAACAATTCTTATTTTAAGTATATTATACACTACGGAATATATTACATTTCATTTCTGCTAAAATATCCCCCTAAATCCTACACACTGGACCTTTAATTTTGTGCCTTATCTGCATCAGTTTACTGTAGAAATGTCTTTAATTACATTTAAATACCAGTCCTGTGATACTCTCATGTTTGTAATGGGGTGGGGATAAATGCACACATGGTAAATATTGAGTAGGACGTGTCCCCTGCATCCTTCCCAAAATCTATGCCTGTGCTTTTGTGTTATAAGTTTATCCCATGCCCTTTCTGGTGGCAGAGAAATAAAGCATACAGAGGTCAAACTAATGGAACAAACATCACTCTGACTTACACTTGGTAATTAGTATTTGGTTAGTGGCTCCTCTGCTTGGTTTTCCCTCAGTGGCTCCCTGTGTGGATATTAGGTGATATTCAGGTGTGTGGTCTCTCTAATGGCTGAGTATTACAGTTTACTTGGCAGCGATAAGCCTACCAGAGGAATTTTAAGCCATGCAAAAAGTAGTAAATTATCTGCAGTATTTAGGCTGAGATCCAATTCCAAATTAATTGTGTCTTTACGGGGGAAAGAACTGGAGATTATGTTCATCCTTAAAATGTTTTCCAACACCAATTAAAAACGCCTGCAGTTATTGATCTTGTTGATTTTATGTCCTGGAATTTGCATAATCTATTAAAAATGAATGATTCATGAAGTGCTCATTGCCAGAGATCGGGATTCTCAGTGAACTGAAAGACTTGAGAGATAGAAATCTTTTGTGTCCTCTGCTTATCCTATTAAGGCTCAGAAGTACCTGCAAAGCAGGCTCAAATAAGAAAGGGATTTAAGGGCATTGTGCACATCATCGAAATTCAGAGGCAAGAAGCCACTTCCATTAAAACAGTTTTTTCTCCCTCCCTCTCCTCCACATTAATGCTGTATTACCTGCTAAATAGTCCCTCTTACCCCATAAAAACACCAAAGGGTTCCATGAATATGTGGATAGGACAATTGCATATTGTGAGGTAATTTCTATTGTTGATATGGGAAGTAATTTCTTTGATGAATTCCCTTCGAGAGATGGATTTCATCTCAAGTGCTTCTTATTCTTGTTCATTCGAACTGCTTAAAATTCAAATAGTGTGAGCCGTGGGTGAATTTATGAATAGCAGAAGGAGGAGCTCTGAACTTTTTTGTGTATTTTGAGAAATAAATGGAGAGATGGCCTTGATACGGCCAATTGTCCACTATTTCTATAGAGAGTTTCTGTATTTCCTGAAATTAGTCAGAGCCCACCTGTTTTCTTGATGGTACTTCAGACTGAAGAGCCATAGCCGAGCGCCGAGCGAATTCCCTTGAGCACTCAGTGGGAGTTTTACACATCTCCACTCAGTGACTGCATACTGAAGACTCTTTAAACATATTCCCTGCTGGGCCTGTTAATGGAGGCCTCCGAAGGCTTAAAGCTCCCGTGTCAATGACACTTTTTCCTCCTCGAGCAGCTGCTCCTGTACGCTCCCGTCAACTCTCTAAACAAAACTTCACCCAGCAAATAAAACTATCCACACTTAAAGGGACAGTTCACCCTCTTACCTGTAGAGCTATAGAGACGTCTGCCTTTTCTCCAATACAATGGAACTAGATGGCACTTGGCTTGTGGTGCTGAAAATGCCGAATTAACTCAAGATAATCAGGGGGTTTACATTAGCCTGCATATGCTGTCTTTTTTCTCAGTACCACGTGTAGTTATCCAGCAGATGAAAATATCAATAGCCAAAATGTGTGGTGGGAAATATGGCAAATAAATAAATAAATTCATTCATTAATAGCACACTAAATAGCCGAATATTGTATACCTCTGACCTATGTTGCCAAGAAAACTTATAAACTTAAATATAAATATAAACGTATACTTTGTAGGCTAGATTTTAGGATTTTAATTACAGACGGATCTATTTATCCTCTAAAGCTGCCTCTTCAGAGCATACGCCACATACATTGCCGTCATGGTCTTCCTCTTAGCCTGCTCGGTATAGTTAGGCGACCACATCATGGATCACATTCTCAAGGAAGACCTTCAACACACCACGGGTCTCCTTTTAGATCAAACCAGAGATACACTTCACTCAACCATGGTTAGCCAGACCATTGATAGTGGGTTTGATGATTTCCTGAATGCATTCACGGAGGACTTTATGGTTACACTTGACGCAAGTCCTTTGCCTCCTTTGCCTCTGCCACTACGCCTCTGATTAGTCTCTCTGTTCAATAGGCCGCTTCTTCATTTGGTTTATTTTCAAGTTAAAATTTGTCTCATTGTCGTTTGGCTCTTTAAAACATGTTCGGTAGTTGTTCTACATGGCCGGAATTCTGGAGTATTAACAGCCATATTGGCCGTTGAAAAAGATGTCTTGCATAAACCCTGAAACCACAGACAATGTTGTGAGCAGTGTCATGTAGGAACTATTTTCTTTCTACCAAACTACACCCACCAACTGTATCAATGTGCAGAAGGAAGTGTGCATCTACTGCTAAACTAAGGAATGGTTTCTTTCCCTGGGCTGTAAGAACACTAAACAAACAATAATCATGTGCAGCATCTACACTGTGCAACATTTTAGCTGCTGTCTTTTATTGTTTTTACTTATTTTATCATTTGCTATTACAGCTATTATATGGCTGTGTGTATGTAATGTTTAAGATGGTTGTCTTGTTTTATCTGTTTTTAAAGCACCAATGGAGTGGCACGTGTAATGTCATCATTTCCATCTATTCTATTGCTAGCTCACCTAGCACCACTGATGAGAAGGACACCATTAATGTTTACATCTCACGCTGTCATGAGCACAAGCTTCTGATGTACGAGTAGATGCACTGT